CTCACTCACTCACTGCCTCACTCGCACTGCCTCACTCTCTCACTGTCTCACTCTCTCACTGCCTCACTCTCACTGCCTCACTCTCACTGTCTCACTCTCACTGCCTCACTCACTCACTGTCTCACTCTCTCACTGCCTCACTCTCACTCACTCACTGCCTCACAAAAAAAATGTAAGAAAGAGGAAGCAGGAACCCAAGGACAAAGTCCAGAGGGTTAGACCACGAGCCGAAGCAGGAGTCAGAGGGAGGAGGTGGGATAAGCGATGGTACATGGAGGGGTTTGTGTTGGATGAACTGAATCAGAAGGTGCTTGAGCTTTCTGGGGGCGACGACACCCCCAGGCAATCGTGACTCTGGCAAAGGAGCTCCTTCTTCCCTCTCGGGAAGATCAGAGGAAACACAAGAAGAAGCGCCTGATTCAGGGCCCCAGGGCCTACTTCATGGATGTCCCCTGCCCGGGCTGCTATCAAATCACCACGCTCTTCAGCCACGCACAAAGAGTAGCTTTGTCTGCAGGCTGCTCCCCTGCCCGCTGTCAGCCCACAGGAGGAAATACCAGGCTTGCAGAAGGATGCTCCTTCAAACGGAAGGAGCCCTAAAAGGCCCTAAATCAAGATGAGAGGGATCCCATCCCAATAGACCCATTTTGGATACATAAAAGAAGAAGAAGAGAATGTGAATGGCTCTGTACAGCCGTCACCTAATTCACAAGAATAAGCTTTTGTTGTTTTTTATGTAAAGGTGGGGTGTCCATCTGCATATAAACACACAAAATATGACCGCCTCAAGAGAAGACAGTCCTTGCTCTGGTGTGTCAGGACTGGAAAGTGGCATGCCAAGGAGGGGCTGGCCTAAGCCAGAGCAGGGACCGCTTGTTCATAGGAATAAGAGAGAGAAAAGAAAGGAGTCTGAAAGAGGAGAGAGGGAGGGTGGGAAGACATGATGGTTTCCTCCTGTTTGCTCCGTGAGAGAAGAAGCAGGGTTCTCACCGGAGAGGGCGGAGAGAGGAAAAGTTTAGGAGATGAGTGGCCAGGAGGCTGCTGGGTGAGGAGGTGGACTCAGCTGACCTTGGATAAGGGGGTCTGATTTTCTTCTAGTTCTCTGTCAGCAGCAGTGTTCCCCCAGGGGCCGTGTGGTAATGCGCGGACACATGTTAGGTTTTCACAACAAACATAACCCATTCCCAGATTCCGGTCAAGCCAAATTGAAGAAACCTCGCCATCTGGCCCTCTCTGGGCCAACGTGCTCTGTGCAGGAGGGCAGGGCAAGGACCTCCGACGCCCCTTGAGATGCCTCAATGAAAGGTGGAAGATTAAAGATCAAGGGGGGTCCTCACCACGGAACGCCTACTAGAAACAAAGGTTAGCTGGCCATGCCACAACAAAGGGGTTTGGAAAGACGTCAAGCACACCTTAGACACCTCGGGGGACAATCCAAAGCTGGGCATGCTCAGATCAAGGTCACCTAGGCACAGGTGAAGGTCAGCCTGGGTACCCACACTAGACGCCAGCAACATTCTGTCCCACGTGTGCCGGAGCTCAGCCCCTAAGATCGGCTCAACGTCGCCCCCACTCACGTGGGAGTAGTATAGACAAGTACAGACTCAGCACAGGCTCTCTCTCAGGTCGGAAGGTGAGATCTCTCCCGATCGGGGAGCACATGTCCCCAAAGAGGCCATCTTCGTCTTCTACTCTCCCTCGGCCCATGTCCTGGGCTTTCCTGGGATAGCGTGTACTCTCTGAGACCGTGCTCCCCGAATCTTCCCTTGCCCACATAAAAGGTACTTCAATGACGAACGTTCTTCTGCCGTATGGAGAAGCCAGAACCGGGGGAAAACCTCCCAGAAACCCAACACCAAGATTCCCAAATGAGGTCATTATATCAGTTCTAGCGTCAGGGAGAAGTCGCTCATAGGGTTGAGTCGGGTCTAGCACAGCCTCCCCTGTCCCCCATGGCCATGTCGGGGCAGATGCCAAGGGAAAGCGAAATTCGAGGTTTATAATCCCATAATGGCCCCGCCTGCCTTTCTCTTTCTGGACCTGCCCTGACGGGCCTTTCCAGCATTGGAGCAACACCATCTGCCCCACCCCCGTGGCTGCCATGTGCCTGGGTCCTGGGGTGTCACATTCCCTGGGACCTCCGAGTGCTTCCTTCCTCAACCCCATGGGAACTACAAACATCGTGTGCACCCACGGCCTGTGGGCTCACCAACACTTCCACTTGGCTCCCTAGATCCTTAGCCTCAGGAGGATTCTCCCCATCCACCAGCTTGGAGTCCTGACCCAATGCCGGGTTTGGGCCGCCTGTCTATGACTCAAGCAGGAGTTGGGGAGTCAGGGCCAGAATCTGGGGCAGGAACTAAGGGGGGAACATAGCTGGTGGGGGGCAGGGAAGCACTGTCTGTGGGACAGAGAGATTTCATCCAAGTGTGAAACCCTCCAGAGCAGTGTTCAGCCACCCCCGCCCTTCCCCCCAAAACCCTCCTTCCCTCTCAGCCTTCCCTCTCAGCCTGGCCTCCGCCCACTGCAATCTGACTGGGGAAAGACACAGAGAGTGATCCAAAGATTCCAGAGGAAAAAGTAGCAGAGACCGACGTGCAGACATGGGGAGACAGAGAACAGAGAGACCGAGGAAGGAATCGACAGGAGAGATGGAGCCAGGTTAAAGAAAGTAAGAAACAGAGACCCAGAGGGACAGAGATGGTGCAGGGAGAGAAGAGAGAGCAGAGAGAAACAAAATGACCCTGAAGTTTAGATGGCACAAGCAAAGCCCGCGATGCAAGATACAGAGAAGAGAGAATGCGCTCCAGGGGATGAGAAAAACCCAGGCAGAGAGGGAAAGGAACTTGCCCAGGGCCACACAGCCACTGACAGCACTGACCTTGTACCCAGAGAAATATAGTGCCCCAACCCCTGGCCCACCATTTTGCCTCAACCTTACCAGAAGGTTGAGAAATCCAAAAAAAACCGGGGCCAAAGTCCTGAATGGCACACAAAAAAACCCAGGTTCCAACCACTGGGTAAATGACCTCCCCTAACCACGGAGAGAAGAGCTGAGGTCTTCCTGCTTCAGGGGGTTGACGGAGGACTCCCCAGGTGTGCCCGCCGGCTCAATGTGCCATTCCAGCTGGCCATGAGCCCTAAGGCTGCACCCCAGGAATTCCAGGGAGGTGGGAGGGGATTAAGGTTGCCTGGGAGAATAAATGAGGGGGTGAGGGTGGAGCGAGACCGTTTAAGAGCAGCCCTCGCCCCCAGACATTTAAAGCTGCAGGGCACATCTGGAGCAGACCTTAGCTGACCTTCCAGGACACACCACTGCCCCTGCAGCTCAGCAGGTAAAGGGCTGGGCTGGGGGTCCTGGAGGAGGAAGAGGGGCTCTCGGGGGACGTGGGGACTCGGGATGCTGGCTCTGAGACTAGCTTGGAATCTCCCTTGCCATCTCTACTGCAGGTGGTTGGGTCTCTGGGTCCCTCTCTGAGTCTGTTTGTTCATTTGACAAGTATTTCCAGGGCACTAAGGGGCTATTCTGGCGCGCACACACACACCACAGAGGGAGCCCCCTCTCTCTGGCTGGTGACTCCCTCCTTCAGAACCCTTGGTCTTTCTGCTTCTGCCCCCCACCCACCACCTCTGCCTCAGTCTCTCTTCTTCCCTTTGTCTCTCTTTCTCCCCATGTCTCCTACCATTTCTGTCTACATGTGTCTCTCCGTCTCTGTATCTCTCTCTTTTTGTCTGTTAGTCCCTCTCTCTTCTCCTCATCTGTTTCTGTGTCTCTGTATCCCTCTCCCTCTCTCCCGTCTCTATCTCTCTAGCTCTATGCCTCTAGTTCCATCTCTTTCTCTTCTTTCTGTTGGTCTCTCTCTATAATGCCCCGTCTCTATCCCTGTGTGTCTTACTACTGACTTGTGTAAGAACCAATCTCTTGATAGATACATGATATGTAGGGAGCATGATTCATGCTCAATCAGTAGATAAGTATGATAGGTAGGTAGATAGATGATAGATAGATGCCTTTGTCTCTCTCTAGCTCGATCACTCTCTCATCTCTCTAGCTCGCTCTCTCTCTCATCTCTCTAGCAGTCTCCTATTCTTATGCCCCCTCCCTGTCTGTTTGTGTATGTGTATATGTATATACAGATATATGTGTACATATACTTTTTTTTGCTCTCTGTTTTCTGACCTCCATTCATTCTCTTTTTTATATATATAAATCATTGTACTGGGGGCTCTTACAGCTCTTAACATAATCCACACATCACTTAGCTCCAGCACATGTGTGCATATGGTGCCCTCATCTTTTCCAAAACCTTTTCTTTCTATTTGAGTCCTTGGTCTCAGCTCCTCTTTTTTCCCTCTCTCCCCAACAATTGCACGCTTGTGAACCCTTGACAAATGAAAAATCACTATTGTTTTCATATCTTACACTACCCGCTGTCTCCCTTCACCCACATTTCTGTTGTTCATCCCCTTGGAGGTGGAGGGGAGGGGGTTCCAGGTCAACCATTGCGATCTTTCCTCCCTCCATTCATGCTCATTCTCATTCTCTCTGTCTTCTTCCCTCCCTACCCCCTGCCCTCTCCCTGTCTCTAGCTCCTCCTACTTCCTTTCTCCACCCCATTTCTGGAGCTTGGAGAACCCAGTGCTACTGGTGCCCATGGAGATGAAATAGCCCGAGCTCCCAGACCTGCCCTCCCCCGCTTTGTCCTCCAGGCGCCGGAAGCCGCTTTCACCATGGACAGTGTCAGCACAGCCATCTTGCTCCTGCTCCTGGGTTTTGTCTGTCTGCTCCTGACCCTCAACTCAAGAGGCAAGGGCCGGCTGCCCCCAGGACCCAAACCCTTCCCAGTCCTGGGAAACCTGCTACAGCTCCGCTCCCAAGACATGCTGACTTCCCTCACCAAGGTGCAGCGTCCTGGGCTTGGGTGATGGGGGAAGGGGGCAGGGGGAGAGGTCCCATGGTCCCAAGCCCCCCCTCCCCTGTGACTTGTCTTCTTACCCCCAGCTGAGCAAGGAATATGGCTCAGTGTACACAGTGCACCTGGGGCCCAGGCGGGTGGTGGTCCTCAGCGGGTACCAAGCCGTGAAGGAAGCCCTCGTGGACCAGGGGGAAGAGTTTAGTGGCCGCGGAGACTACCCCGTCTTTTTTAACTTCACTAAGGGCAATGGTAAGCCTTCTTCCCATCTCCTCCTCCTGTGCCCTTTTCCACGGTGTGGGATGAGGGCGGTGGGCTATCCTCCCAACTGTGGACTCACTCTGGGCTCCGGATCTCATGGAAGGTACCAAATGGAATGGAACCAGGCCATCTTGGCCTAAGGTTGAAGCGCATCCCATCTCCCCCATCATCATCTTGAACGGCATTTCCACACCAGGCCCCATGTCCATTGACCTTGAGCTCAATTCTCATTCCCATCTTTATATCCACCCCTACCTCATCACCAACTTTCCTCCTCAATCGCATAGACAAATGATCTGGCCCCAGCCCTCCTCGTCCACCTTAGCCCAACCCCCCACCCCCAGCAACCCTGCCCCCATCTTCTCCATTTCAACCTCAACTCTTTCCCTATCCACAAGCATAACTGCATCTTACTACAACCTCCGCGCCCTTTACGAACCCTCCCCATTGAAGGTCAAATGCCCTCCTAGTCCCTTTCTTCAACATGAACTCTGCTGCCATTTTTCTCCCCTGACCCAAACCCTTCATCAATCCCAATCTTACATTTAAATGGTCAATCCCCCTTTTCAACCTCAACGTCAATCCCACTACCATCACCAAAACCAGCCCTCTCCCCTGTCTGCCCTACCCCAATCTCAGTCTCATCTCCAATCTGCCAATCTCTCTCATGCCACCCTACTCCATCCCCATCCCCAACCCCAATTTACTCACCCCACCGCCCCCACTTTTGCCTCACCCCCAACTTAGCCCTATCCCTCCCCAGCACGCTGCATCATTAGCTCCAAATCTTGCCCATCTCAAATCCTTCACACAACTCTCAGTCTCGATGTAAGTCCAAACCCACCATGCAATTATTTGTCCTCCTCCCCACGGAGAAGTCAGAATGGTTTATGGTTTTTCAATGAAACTCACACACATACACACACACCCCTTCCTAAAGGGAAGTCCTTTAGAAAGGCCAAGGACAGCTGTTCTAGTTAAAATGAGACTTGTATAATGCTCTCCTCTCCTCTTCCTAAAGCCACTTTAGGGCTCCCCTTGACCCCCTTCGCTGAACGAGGCCAAATTGCACCAGGATTTCGAATCAAACGGTTCTTGAGTTAAAAAAGGAAAGAAAGCAAACACTTTTGTGTCTTGAGTGCACTTGGCCCCCTTCCTTGGGCTCCTTCCCTGCCCTTGGCCTTATGAAGCACCTGTTCAGGAACACTGGATGCAAAAGAGAGGGTGCTTAAGAAGGTCACCTGGCTGCCTTGCACTTCAATACCTTTCCAAAGCATTTGGAAACAGACATCATCCTTACTCAGAAAGTCCCAATTGTTGTTCCAGTTACTCAGTAGACCGCACAGGGGAAGTGGGGTCACAGCAGGGATGGTGCTACTGCCTACCCTGTTTCCCCGAAAATAAGACAGTGTCTTATATTAATTTTGCTCCCAAAGATGCGCTAGGTCTTATTTTCAGGGGATGTCTTATTTTTCCATGAAGAAGAATATGGTACGTATTTATTGTTTATTGTTATATTAAAAGAGACCTCCCACTTCCTGTCTGCTATGGCTGCACTGCGGCCAACAATGAGTGGCGCCTGCTACTATGGTCCAGAGTCCAGAGTTACAGTAGCTTCGAGGGGCCTTATTTTCAGGGAGGTCTTATTTTGGGGGGAATGCCTTATATTTCAGTGAGAGGCAAAACTGTAAGTAGGTCTTATTTTCGGGGATGTCTTACTTTCGGGGAAACGGGGTAGTTATGGACAAATGGCCTCCGGGCAGCTAATGATCTCCTGGACCCGGAGGAATCCAAGACAAAACACACCTGAGACCTTCTGGCATGGCTTCCAGGCCAGTGGGATATTCAACCCTGACTGTGACAGCCCAGCTTGGTCAGGGCTGGGATGGGGAGGCACAGGTCAAGGGGTCCATGCCAGGGTAGAGGGAGCCTGGGGAGTTGGAACCTGAACTAGGGAACCGACTAGCCAGGAAAAGACTAGGGGTCGAGAGTTCTAGGCGGAACTCTAGGCCCTGGGTCCAGGGAGAGAGCAGTGTGTCTGGTTCCTGAATACGCTCCCAGGTTTTATGTTTGTATTTTGCTTATCATGCATCCATTCATTCATGGAGTCCATTCCTAAGCAATCGCCAACCTACTGTCTTAGGGACTAGGCGTCCAAGGCACACAGTGACAACGCAAGCAGTCCCCACGCTGGTTTCTCCGGGCTCCTGGTTCGCCGAGCTGTGTGAGGGCCGACTGGAGGCACCAGAACCCAGCCTGGAAAATCAAAGAGGGCTTCGTGGCTGCACGGAAGAGGGAGGGGGGCCGACATTCTCCCCATCTCCGAGTGGTGGGGGATGGGTGATGTGTTGAGCTGCCCGCCTCTTCGGTTCCCCAGGTATCGCCTTCTCCAACGGGGACCGGTGGAAAGTCCTGAGGAGATTCTCCGTCCAGATTCTCCGCAACTTCGGGATGGGCAAGAGGAGCATTGAGGAGCGGATCCTGGAGGAGGGCAGCTTCTTGCTGGCAGAGCTGCGGAAGACGGAAGGTCAGGCCCCTCTCCTTGAGCGCATTCTGACCCCGGATGGCGGTCAGGGCTTCCGGTCCCACCGGTGACTTCCGGTACCACGCCCTCCTCTGAGTCCCCAGTGGGGACGGCGCCCCCTGGAGGTGGAGCGGGGTGCAGGGCTGCACGTCCTTGAGGTGTGAAAGGCTGAGTGTGTTCCTGTCGCCGAATGGTAGTTAGAGAAAGGCGCGTGTGATTGTAGGGGATGATGATGCTGATGCTGGCGGGGATGATGATGGGGATGGTGATGATAGCAGTAGTGATGGTGGTGGGACCCTTGAGGACCCACCACCTGCTGGGCCCATGCTGATTGCGTGAGCCCTCTAAGCCTCAAACACAATCCATAACGCTGGAAGTCTACACTCTACATACTAATGTCCATTGACTCCACGCCTGTTGTATATCCGCCACTATGCTAATTAAGTTCCCAGCTCCCAGCAACCACAGGGACTGGGGACTGTTGCAGGAGAACACGCAAGGTGATGTGCTCAGGAAATGGTCTCTCGCTGCCATCCAGTCGGTATGGACTCACGACGATCCTCCAGGACAGGGTAGAACTGCCCTCGTGAGTTCCCAAGACTGTTTCAGAGAGTAGAAAGCCTCGTCTTTTCCTGGGGAGCAGATGGAAGTTTCAAAACCCAGGTAGCATTCACTGCTTCTCTATTGGGGAGGGGAATATTTTGTGGGGTTTTTTGGTGGGGAATGTTTAGTAACCAACTCTTACATGATTCCCCACCATCGTTTGAACTGGAGCCCTTCTGATGTAGTGGGCTACCTGTTGCCAGATCATCAGTCAGGAACACCACCACCACCCCTTCTTGGGAGAAAGAGGAGGCTTTCTACTCCCGTAAAAAGTAACAGGCTTGGGAACCTGCACAGACAGTTCTACCCTCTCCTAGAGGGTCACTATGAGTCAGAATCAACTCGATGGCAGGGAGGTTTGTTGGTTTGTTTGTTTGTTAACCACTGCTTCAAACATGTCCTGTATATATCCTTTGTGTATATCCTTGAAATATCACCCCACCCTAAGAAGTAAATCAAGTTATCAGGCCCACTTTACAGGATAGGAGGGAACCTTGGGGGTGTAGTAGGTTCACGTTGGGCTCCGGACTGCAAGCTCAGCAGTGGAAACAGCCACTCCACGGGAGAATGATGAAGCTTTTTGGCAGTGAGCTTGCTTTTTGT